CATCGTTTGCCAAGCTTTACACCCTTAAAATCCCTAAAGCCATCCCTCGCGGCAGCTTCCACCAAGTTCCTGGCCGTCAGCGTTCCACCATTGCAGCCTGCCCTTTGCCTGCACATACCCCTGTCTTGTTAGGGCATTCGAGCCTGCCGTTTGCCAGCCTTCAAACGCTTAAAACCCCTAAAACCCCTAAAACCCTCCACCGGAGGTGTGGAACCGCGCCACCTGCCACCACCCTTACAATCCTCCAACTGCTGCATGGCTTCCTCGCGGCAGCTGCCACCAAGCCCTCTGGCCGTCAGCCTTTGCTGCTCCAGGGTTGCAGCCTGCCCTTTGCCTGCACATCGTTTGCCAAGCTTTAAACCCTTAAAACCAGCAAGCTTTAAACCCTTAAAACCCCTAAAACCATCCCTCGCGGCAGCTTCCACCAAGTTCCTGGCCGTCAGCGTTCCAGCATTGCAGCCTGCCCTTTGCCTGCACATAGCCCTGTCTCGTTAGGGCATTCGAGCCTGCCGTTTGCCAGCCTTCAAACGCTTAAAACCCCTAAAACCCCTAAAACCCTCCACCGGAGGTGTGGAACCGCGCCACCTGCCACCACCCTTACAATCCTCCAACTGCTGCATGGCTTCCTCGCGGCAGCTGCCACCAAGCCCTCTGGCCGTCAGCCTTTGCTGCTCCAGGGTTGCAGCCTGCCCTTTGCCTGCACCGTCAGCGTTCCAGCATTGCAGCCTGCCCTTTGCCTGCACATAGCCCTCTCTTGTTAGGGCATTCGAGCCTGCCGTTTGCCAGCCTTCAAACGCTTAAAACCCCTAAAACCCCTAAAACCCTCCACCGGAGGTGTGGAACCGCGCCACCTGCCACCACCCTTACAATCCTCCAACTGCTGCATGGCTTCCTCGCGGCAGCTGCCACCAAGCCCTCTGGCCGTCAGCCTTTGCTGCTCCAGGGTTGCAGCCTGCCCTTTGCCTGCACATCGTTTGCCAAGCTTTAAACCCTTAAAACCAGCAAGCTTTAAACCCTTAAAACCCCTAAAACCATCCCTCGCGGCAGCTTCCACCAAGTTCCTGGCCGTCAGCGTTCCAGCATTGCAGCCTGCCCTTTGCCTGCACATAGCCCTGTCTCGTTAGGGCATTCCAGCCTGCCGTTTGCCAGCCTTCAAACGCTTAAAACCCCTAAAACCCCTAAAACCCTCCACCGGAGGTGTGGAACCGCGCCACCTGCCACCACCCTTACAATCCTGCAACTGCTGCATGGCTTCCTCGCGGCAGCTGCCACCAAGCCCTCTGGCCGTCAGCCTTTGCTGCTCCAGGGTTGCAGCCTGCCCTTTCCCTCCACCGTCAGCGTTCCAGCATTGCAGCCTGCCCTTTGCCTGCACATAGCCCTCTCTTGTTAGGGCATTCGAGCCTGCCGTTTGCCAGCCTTCAAACGCTTAAAACCCCTAAAACCCTCCACCGGAGGTGTGGAACCTGCTTTGTCATAGCCCTCTGTTATTGAGGCATTCAAGCTTGCCGTTACCAGGCTTCAAACGTTTCAAACTCTTACAACCCTCCAAATCCCTCGCGCCACCTGCCACCACCCTTGCCTTACACTCCTCCAACTGCTGCATGGCTTCCTCTACTTATATATACTGCCACCACCCTTACAATCCTCAACTCGAGCTCCCA